GGAAGGCCGACAACTCGATCTGTCTGATCCGCTCTCGGCTGACGCCTATCGCCTCCCCGATCTCCTGCAACGTCTTCATCCTCCCGTCCTCCATCCCGAACCTCCACTTTATCACCCGCTTCTCCCTCGGACTCAACACCTTCTCCATCACCTTGTCCAGGTCCTCCCTCATGCACCGCTTTATCAGCACCTCTTCTGCCGTTTCCGCTTCCGGATCCGCTATCACTTCCTGCGTGAATCCCGATGCGATCTCGTTAAAAAAAGTACGCTTTTGCAGCCAGATTGTCAGAAAGAGATGGTTGGAAGATAAGGAAGGTTTGACGGACCGAAAGTTTGAGGTTTTGGTTGATTCCGACTTTTTGATCGAGCGATCTTGGAGGTTTAGGAGAGAGTAGAACTGCATTGAGCCTCTTCATCGAGAGCCCAGTTGCCTCCGCGACTTCTTCATTATTGGGCTGCCTTCGGTTTTCGGTGTAGAGCTGCTTTCTAGCTTCCTTCACTCGGTACGTTGCCTCCACCATGTGAAACTGCAGATCAATGTCAAGAAAGATTAGGACATCATTCACATGTCTTGAAAGAGAAAAAAAGAAAACAAGCTGAGCCAGATTAACCGTGTCTGGTATGGCGAGACGAGACAGAGAGCCTTACGGGTAATCTAATCGTCCGAGATTGATCAGAGAGAGTCTTTCGAACGGCTTGCTTGATCCACCAATGCGCATAAGTTGAAAATTTGAAACCTTTAGTAGCATCAAACTTCTCAGCTCCCCTCAGAAGCCCTCGGCATCCTTCCTGGACAAGATCTTGGAGGTTCATTCCAGCTCCTTGATAATTCTTCGCAATCGATATAACCAGACGTATGTTGCTTTTAACCATCTTGTCCTTGCAAATTATGCCGTTATTTATACGCTTCCTTAGAGTTTTCTGATCAACTCCAGCAGCAGAAGCCCACTGTGCCAACGTTGGTTGACCGCCACAACGCTCGGCTATCTCTTCCCGAAGCCGTTCCAACTTCAGTAGGTCCTAAATAAAGCAGACAACAATTTGTGAGCATGCAACCTCGGCGGATGGAAATAGAGAATGAATCTTTGAGCAACAGCTTGAACGACACCCGATATCGAAACTAGCAGCTTGAATGAAACTAGAAACCTTACATGGGTATGTCTGAAATGGAAGTAGATAGATACCTAATGTTTTCGAGATGAAAGAGACAAACCTGTATCCCTTCTGAACACTCCTGTTCTTCTCTTGCCGTCAGAAGCCTGGAAGTGCTTGTTGTCCATCTTAAGTACCGCAAAGGATCAGCATGGTCAACATCTTGTGAAGAAACCCGTTTTCTTCTATTCCTTGCACCGGCCTTCACGGACACAATACCGGGCGTAACTTTCTCAAGCCCTCTTGCCCGACGAGCCTTCCTTTCAATCTGGCGTGTAGATCTCACTGCTATACCCACGGAAAGTCGCTCCTCAAGAATTTTGAGTTCTTTGTCCATCTGTTCAGAATCATCACACGGATCTTTGTCAGAGTCATGGGCAGTACATTCATCGACCACGATTCCAGTCCCAGAAACCGCTAGATGCCCCATTATGCCAGCACGTTCCTTCTCCGTAAACCGGTCCCATTTGGAGCGTTTGTCATCTGTGGACGAAACCGATAACTTTGTGCTGTAGCTGTTGTAAACTAACGCAGCATCTTTTGCAACTTTGACGGCAGCCCTTGCGAGAGCAACTGCTTCAGCAGCAGCAGCCACAACTACTGCTTCATCACCGGTGAGAAGCGTTTCAGAGGCTAAAGCTTCTGAATATTTTTCCTGCAAATATAAATGCCCAACCGGTATCAAGAACTGAACTTTCACACAGCATCCAGAGAGTGATAAAACCCGATTCTATTGACTAGCATAAGCTGTTCAAAGAAGGGAAGGAGCAGAAGGTAGAAACACTAAGGGGACATGAATTAAATAGAAGTTAAGGTGGCAATGGCAACAATATGATGCAGATTAATCAAACTTTGGTTTGGTTTCCAGACATCACCATCACCATTCCAGAGTCCATCAACTTTGCATCTCTCTCTCCCTCCTCCTAAGTTGTATCACTATTTTCATCAAGTGATCCTAACCAAGGCATCAACTGTATATCGTCATTTGCAGAGACATATAAATGTGATTTCACCTTTGGGCCGATTAGAGATTTTTGTAAAAATTACACATGGTATTGGTTTGTCGGTTACCTGAGTAGGAGGACCGATGATTCCAGTACAAGTCCATCGATCATCCGATACGAGGGAATCTGAGTGAGTGTTGAAAGAGGGCAGTCTCAGGTTCTCCACATCAAGCACTGAAGGAGCTGATACCGATGCGGTACATTGCGGTTGGAAGAATACACCATCCTTGCCGTGTTTTGCTGCACAATCCAACCAAATATCGGCCATCAAGAAGCCTGGTGTGATTAGGACATTAACCTCAATCTATAACAGCATTATACACATGATGATGATGATCACTTTCCTGGACATTTTAGCAACCATAATCATAATTTAAACTACATCAAGCGCAAAAAGTCTACAATTCTACATCATGTGCAAAACCTTAATTTCACATTCACAGAACCCGAAGATCAGATACAGAGCACACGCAAGAACGTCTCTATAAACAGAACCCTCAAAGTAATAACCAAGAATCACATAGAATATTAACGAATCACTGGGAATTTCAATCGAATTGCAGGCATAGAAAAATCCAAGATTCTAGAAGGATCAAATACGCACCCACCTGGAATCAAATTGACGAAAGGCCAATGCAAAGAGAATCAAGACAGTAGAACCCGAAGGGAGAGGGAAAGATTCAAAACTATGCACAATTCACGGTAACACTGCATATGCAAAAGAAACAAAACTAAATTGGATAGAGAGAGAGAGAGAGCTTACAGAGGTAGTGAGAGGTTCTGAACTGGATAGAGAAGGAATCAGGCAGGCACTTGAACTGAGGAAGAAGACAAGAAGACATGCTCGTACTTGGCTAAATTTGAAATCTAGTTCCCACCATTGAAGTGAGGTTGGCTACTTGGCTTGGAAGAGGGAGATGTCGGAGAAGAAATGAACTGGTGATGCGGATGAAGTGGAAACAGGATAGAGGATATGAATCCTTGAGGCTGAAAGAGAGATAAGACATGCTCCCATTACCTCTGTATTAGTTGGGCCGAGTAATTTTTGTCGGCCCAAACCATTACTTATACATGTAGGGTATGTGCATGTGCGTATATGAAAAGTATGTGTTAATATTATATATGTATATATAAGTGTATATATTTGAGAATTATTGCAGGCGAAATGTTTTTCTCGACTTTAAAAGGAATTATAACGCAATAGTAAGATGAGTGAAACTTAAATTAATTAATATTATATATATATGTGTATATGTTACTGTCGCATTTACAACGCTATAACGCTAATTATTATTATTGAATTTATATTTGTATAGTTGGATCTAAAATCGAATATCTTTTGTGAAATTCAGTTTTTAAATATAATTCTTAAATTGCAAATCCACTCGTGCTCTTAAACCTACAGTATTTACCCGTCTGCTTGTCGAATCGAAAGCTTTTCGAGGGCTGGAAGAAAAAAAGGAAAGAAACCCTAGAAAGAGAAACCGTCCATTCTTGTATTAGGGCAAAATCGCCGCTTCTGGTTTCTTCGATTTGTGGATAGTCGGCTTCAGCTCACCAAATTCTCGGCTATCGGACGAGAAACCCTAGTGTGCTCTCTGTCTTCGAAACCTCGTACGGCTCTGTCCATGGCACCGAAGCGGCCAACCCCGATCGAGAATCCACCTGCCGCGTCTTCGAGTGAAGAAGAAACTGAAGAAGAGTATTCATCAGAGGAGGAGGATCCTGAGGAGGAGCCGGATCGTAACGAGAAGAAAGAGGATTTAGCCTCTGATGACGAAGACGATGAAGACGACGACGACTCTCCGGTGATGAAGAAGCCAGAGACTACAGCTCCGGTGGTGGTGACAAATTTGAACCATAAGCCAGAAGCTTCGGAGTCTGAAGCCGATTCCGGTTCGCAGACGGATTCGGAGTCGGAATCCGAGCATGAGAGAACCGACAACAAAGCTGTGAAGCCTGTCGTGAACAAGTCAATGGTAGAGATTCCTGTGTCTCAGAAACTCGGGTCTACCGTGTTGGGTTTGCCGGCGAATTCCACGGCCAAGCGCCCCTCGACTGTGTTGGGGAAAGAGGGGAATAAATCAAAGCGGGCGAAGATGCTGGAAGAAGAGAAAAAGCCCGAAGGCAGCGAAAGCAAGAGAACAGGAGAGGATACCAAGAAGCAGCTGTTTCAGAGATTGTTCAGCGAGGATGACGAGATTGCTTTACTACAAGGTATTCTTGAATTCACAGCTAGTAAAGGGGACCCTTATGGTCATATGGATGCATTCTACGAATTTGTGAAGAAGTCTATCAATTTTAAGGCTAGTAAAGCCCAGTTGTTTGATAAGATCAGGAGATTGAGGAGGAAGTTTGAAAAATCGGTGAAGAAGTCAGTTAAGTTGGGAAAGAGCGGAGAAGACCGCATATTTCCAAAGGCTCATGACCAAAAGGCCTTTGATTTGTGGAAGAAGATATGGGGTAGCGATGGAGCTCTGCAATCCGCGCAGAAATCAGCCAAGTCGAAGAAGAATAAGGGAGGAAGCTCCAAAGCTGAGGTTTTTGCAGGCAGCAGGTTGTTTGATTCTCCTCCTAAGAGGGGAGATGCGAAGAGGGAAGAAGATAAGGAGGTTGTGAATAATTTTGAGGCCATTACAGGCAGAGATATGGCATCGTTGTTGAAAGTGGAGAATGTTAGTGCGTTTAATGAGCTTGCGGTGATGGAAGGTTGGGATATGGTCGACGGAGCAAAGAAGAGAGAATTGGAAGAGAAGTGGAAGAAGATCCAGGCTGGACAGATGGAACTGCTTTTGCAGCGGAACGAGTTCATTGGTGAGGCGGCAAGGCTGATATTCGAGGCAGTGAAGGCAAATGTGGCTGGTTTCGGCCATTAGGTATAAATGGTGATATATCTGTGATGTTTTGTAGTATCCGGCTAAAATGGGTTTGTCTAAGGGTAGACCCTTGAGACCGTTTAGATTAATTTGTCACTGAACTATTTGCTTATGAAACTGATGCCCTGATGTTGTTGCTTCTTACTTTCTCTATTGTCTAATCTGAGTTTTGGGCCTGATGGTTTCTAATTCTAGGTTGAATTATATATGTATATATATATATATATATCTTTTCTTGCCTTATTTGGGTCTGTGTTTCAGATTCCCAAAATCACTTGTTTCCCCTTCTCAGATGTTGTGTGTGTTGATGTGAATGCAGAGCCAAAGGGAGTTTTAGGTTGGAAGGATTTGGTCTGCTTCTTAGTATTATAAAGGTTTTGTGATTCCTCACTTCTGGTGTGTTCTTCGAAGGAACACGATTATCTGTCCGTAAGCTTTGCTATTTTAATGTGGTATTCGATTGCTCATATGTTACTCTTGTAAATTGCAAATGCGTGAACTAATAATATATCCATCGTTTTGCCAATGGCCAGACTTGTAGTTAATTAATTATAAATACAAGTCTGGCGATCATTACCGTTAACACCACCATGCCTTTCATATTATTATCCCTACAAAGTTTGAAGAACACCTAAGCTTATTGTTCTTGATACCATTTTGTAGACATTGTCATGGAACTCTAATGTCTCCACTTAAACCGTTAATGCCTCCACTAATCCTAACCCGGCAAGCAAAATAATTCTTGTGATTCAGTGGCATCTGGCACATTATTTTCTGCACTAGTAATCTTGATCGCTTCGTTGATTACATAAATATTTCTCCCAACACCCTTACCAAGAAAAACAGCATAAAGACTGAGTTTAGGAATAATAAACTCAGACAACAACGCAATGTATGTAGGAACACTTTCAAAATTCATGGTATTCAGTGAGAAAAAGAAAAGGAAAAATATCTACAGTCTCTCTGTAGGAGCAGCAGACGGAGCAGGGGAGAGGCCTTGAGCTTCACCCTGCGGCGGAGCAAAGGCATAGGCAGGGAACATAAGTTGCGGCGGAGAGTGAGAGACGTCGGCGTTGCAGCTGTCGTCGGGGAGAGAGAGAGAGAGAGAGAGAGAGCCTTGGTGAAGTCTCCTTGTCAACGGACGGAGGTAGTTCGAATTCTAGGGCTTTGGATTCGACCCATTTCCAAATGTCAGATTCTAATATACAAAATTAAATTCATATTTATAATCATTTTTATTATAATTGTGAGAAAATAATTATGGGCCAACCGAAGCCCAAATTCTAAGATTTGTAGATTTATTTGTAATTTGAGTAAGCCCAGCAACCCATTTGAATTTAGATTATATTATCCGATGCATTGCAGGAACGAAATGGGAAGCGACAGCAGTCCAAACCTATTTGGTCCCGTCCTTATCTTTAATTCTTTATGTCTAGATCCAATGTATGTGGTTAATTTTTTTTTTAAAACGAAATCTAAAAAACAATTATTAGGTTAAATTAAATAGGTTATATAATCCATGGTTATGTAACCCAATCTGATTTTGTTAATGGGCCCGCTGAACCCAAGCTATCCTCGAGATCCTATACGACGTCGTCTTCCTTCCTTCTGAAATCCTCTGGTGCACTCGGAGGGTTCCCCTGCATTCTGCGGACACGGAACTAAGAGACCCTCGGTGTTGAGATTTGACAATTTGCTTTGTTCTTTTATAAAGCCCCTCTAATTTATAAACGAAACATGGATCCACTTAATAGCTTTAAAAAAAATAACCGTATACAAATCTATGTATATATGAATTATTGTTCTATTAAAAGTCAATGCGACGCTAAGAACATCTTGAAAATATGCGACGTGTCTAGATAACACGAACAAAACGCTAAAAACATTTTGGAAATGAATTCATCGTTTGAATAAATTCATTTTTTTGTTTATTTTTTCTCCAACTTGTGATAAAGTTTGTATTAAAGAAGGTTTTAATATATGGTAATATACAGTTGTGTATAACCCCAATATTTGTTTATGCACCAAAAGATAAGAACAGTAGAAAGTTCTATTTTTTACCAATTTCCCTAATACTCTATTAGAAAAGAACTCGCGAAAGATTTTTTTTTTTTTTTTTTTGATAAAATTGCTTTTATATTATTCTCGAAATATATCGGGGGTTAACTAATTGAATATTAAATGGCATTATCCGAACCACCACGTGTATTTGCTTATCTAATTACCGTATATATCTACGTATGGGAGAGTTAAGAAGTCCAAAAGCCACGAGATGGATATCTCAGCACAAGCATTGTTGTTCCCCTTCGCTTGCTTCCTGTTGTCTTGTCTCTTTGTCTTAGCCGCCACCAAATCCCGACGGAGCCCCGGAGGAACCGCCGCGCTGCCGCCGGGTCCTCCGCCGTTACCCATCATCGGAAACATTCTCCACTTCGGAAAAAACCCTCACTGTTCACTGACCGAGCTCTCCAAAACTTACGGACCCGTGATGAGTCTTAAGCTCGGGACAGTAACTACAGTTGTCGTGTCTTCACCGGAAGCAGCAAAGGAGGTTCTTCAAGTTCATGACCAAGTCTTGTCGGGCCGAACCTCCACCGACCCGATCAGATCCTACGGTCACCACGAGGTTTCCGTTGCCTGGATGCCTCCATCACCTCTCTGGAGGTACCGTCCATTTCTCTCTGTCTGTATATTTTTCAGTGAGTATCATAAAAAAGCTTCCGCGTGTTGTTTTCAGACAACTGAGGAAGATATCGGTGATGCAACTCTTCTTGTCAAAGCGCCTTGACGAGACAAAGTCACTGCGGATGAAAAAGGTGGAGGATCTGTTGAAATTCACGAGCGAAAGCTGCGAGAGAGGAGAAGCTATTGCCATTGCTAACGCATCATTCGTCACATCCCTCAATATCATCTCGAATGCTTTGTTTTCCATCGATTTCGCCTGCCACGACTCCCAATCCTCTAACGATTACCACGACACCGTGGTTCGTTACATGGAGGTTTCTGGGAAACCCAATATGGCAAACTTCTTCCCGGCACTCGGGTTTCTTGATCTTCAAGGCACTCGGAAAGAGATAAAAGAATGCGTAGGCAGGTTGTTTCGGGTTTTCCAAGGGATTATTGATGCTCGGACTGCGGAGAGATTATCCCGGACGAAGCCTAAAGACGTTTCGAGCATCGATCTGCTGGATTACCTTCTCGATCTTGAGAAAAACGGGGGAAAAGAAATCAATATGAATGTCATCAAACACATGTTTCTGGTGATTCTGCAACTCTAGATATTAACTAGTTTTATATGTGATGTAAATATTCAGTAAATATAGATGAACATATTTTGTAACAAGACCTGTTTGTAGCAGGCGGACACGAACTCTGGCACGGTGGAGTGGGCGATGGCTGAGCTACTCAAAAGACGGGAGACGATGGCGACGGCTCAGACCGAGATCGAGAAAGTACTCGGCGAAACTCCTTCAGTTCAAGAATCCGATATCTCCAGGCTGTCGTATTTACAGGCAGTGGTAAAAGAGACTTTGCGTTTGCACCCTCCGAGTCCGTTTCTCCTGCCGCGAAAAGCAGAGTCGGATGTCAAGATTTTCGATTTTCTCGTGCCTAAGGACGCTGAGGTGTTATTTAACCACAAACATGATACTCTTCAATGAAATGTGGATCGTTTTATGGATACCCTAAACTAAAAGGATTAATTTTTTTTCCGGGTATGAAACAGGTATTGGTTAACGTGTGGGCTATAGGGCGAGATCTGAGCGTGTGGGATAATCCGATGGAGTTCGAGCCAGAGAGGTTCATGGGACGAGAAATCGACGTGAAAGGTACGGACTTTGAGCTGACACCGTTTGGAGCCGGGCGAAGGATCTGTCCGGGAATGCCTCTGGCTCTTAGGACAGCGCCATTGGTGCTTGCCTCTCTTCTCCATGGCTTTGACTGGAAGCTCGAAAACGGTGTCGTTCCAGAGGATCTGGACATGGACGAGGCCTATGGTATCACCTTGCACAAGGCCAATCCTCTTTGTGCCATTCCCATCAAGAAACGTCTCGTCTCTGCATCTTCTCCATGAAATTTGATCCAGTCATGTTTTGATATACATAAACATAATTAAAAATATTTGATATAATTTTCAATAAACATTATCGACAATTTGGAAGAACAAAATCTTTTTTTTTTTTTAATATTTCACCAAATTCCTCTTTTTTAAGTTTATTTATTACACAAAAAGAAACAATATCGCAAAAAAAGAAAAAGAAACAGAATAGCAAAAGCGAAAACAAATAACAAGTTTTTTTCAAAAAAAAAAAGAAAAAAGAAATGGCAGGTCGGGAAGGAAGGGAACTGATATTTTTATACCGAACCAAACCGTGAAATTTAAACCGGGTTTGATATTTTCCCGTAACCCTGGAGCGTGAAGGGGACGAGGCAGAATGAGGAAATCAGTGGAAGCAGAAGAGTACCACTCGAAGGACTTCGAATGGGAAGAGCTCAAGAATCTCGTAGAGAGCGATCCCTCTCTCTCCCACCATGTCCGATTCAGACATGACCACGAATCTCAAGGACACGATCTCGGAGAAGATCGGGATTCTTTTGCCCAGGTTGATCCCCAGGCATGGCAAAACTTTCACGCCCGACACTCTTCTGGAAAATTCTTCAAGGTATACACGTCTATACGTACATATATTTGCCTATGTAGACGCAGATAGTATGTGAATCGCGCGGTTGTGATTGTGCCCATCCGTGAAATCTATTGTACGTTCTCTAATTTCGGCTTCGGACCGGAGTTCTTAGGTTCCCACTTATATGCCGGCAAATTGTATGTACAGATTTATTCATCTGTTGATGTACCGTGATTGGATTTGATTGAAAAGTATGAAATGGAATGATACGTGATCAATTACCAGTAATATATATGGCACTGGTACGTAGATAGAAAGCAAGCTTTAGGTTGAATTACAGTTGTTCAAATCTTCGATTATTATCCATTCATCCATGTTTGAGAACTTTTTAAAATTTCAAAATCTAATCGAACTAATTCCAAAATTCATGTAAAGTGATTGATTTCATCTTGACGCATCCACGATAGGAAAGAAGGTATTTGCTGAAGGAGTTTCCTGAGCTACTTCCGCATGGGGAGAACTCCAAGCTTTTGGAGGTTGGTTGTGGTAATGGGAGTACAGTGCTTCCGATTTTACGGTAAATCTTGAAATCTTCGCTACCCGTTCTTAGTTTGATGTATTTTTTTACCATATCATTCATCTAGGGTTTGATTGTTTATTCTTATGCAATGCTCTTTTGATTTCATGCAGTGGATGCCAGAACTTGACTGTGTATGCTTGTGACTGTAGCACAGAGGCTCTTGTGAGGACAAAAGAGAACATTGATCATTCTACTGTTACATCAGATAACTTCCATTCTTTCTGCTGCGACTTTTCCAGATTTGAGTTTCCAAAATGGTTGGCATGCGATCATTGTCGAGAGAACGTTTTGGATAAGCAGATCGGCAGCCATTCAGATGCCTCTTGTCCTTCTCATGAATTGTCCTCGGTTCAGCCTACGGAAGGCATAAGTCCTATCTCTCTCATACCTGTTTTGGATCGTTTAATACGTGAAAGGAAATGTAGTCTTAGGCTTCCTTATTCATAGCAGAGCACAGAAGCGCAGATGTGAGTAGTAAATCTCCATCAACCGGTGATCAATGTTGCATCGGTGGGGTGGACTTCGTTACTCTGGTAAAAATGTTATTCTCAGTCACCAGTCATATCGTGATGTTACGAGCCTTCTGACGTAACCATCAATAATTTGGCACAATAGCATGCTTACGATGAGCAACAATATTCTAGTTTGAAAAGTTGTTTCATTGCATGTTGCGCTAATCATATCGTGTATGATTTTGACTATCTCAGGACTGTTTAATATTCTACGATGATTGATCAATCGGAGCATTCAATAAATTTTAATCGTGGTGTTTATTTTATAATTCCAAGCTTCTAGGCTACTTAAAGTTGTGTTAAATGTTTTCGTGATACAGAAAGACTGGATACTGATACTCAGTTTTGTCCCAACCTCTTGTGGTATGTCAGATTTTTACATTGTCAGCAGTTCCTCAAAAGCGGATGCCAAGAGCTATCAAGGAATGCTATTCTGTTTTGAAGCCCGGTGGCTTACTCCTATTCAGGGACTATGGTAATTCTTTAACCAACATGAAGGCCACCATTAAAGAGTTTTCACTTCCTGTAAATGAAGAAAAGTTACAAACTAACAGTTAAACTGATATTCAGGGCTATACGACATGACTATGCTGCGGTTTGAGCCAGAGAAATGTGTAGGGTTCAGGGAATATATGCGGTCAGATGGAACCCTCTCATATTTCTTCTGTCTAGACACTGTCAAGAGGCTATTCACTGGCGCTGGATTCATTGAGGTAACCCGACTCTCTTACTCCGCTCTGTTATAATAACACCCACTCTGAGATTGAATGTGTTTCAAAGAGTGGATTGGAAAATGAGAAGAAGGTTAAGCTCAAGAATTATTTCCGATGGTTCTATTGGGCAATACTTCTATGGCCTGATCTATGAACTAATGGCTGGAATTGATATCTTGATTTAATACTAGGCATTTGAAATCTAGAGTTCGACTTGCTTGCTTCCCACTTATTTTGGAATACCATAGTTGAAGGAAAATAGGATTGTCCGTCGGTATCAATATCATAAGGCTGTTCTTATACGTTTGTGCTTGAAGATCAAGGGGGTTGGTCTCGTGGTTGGAAATTCCATCGTGTCTTTTGTTGAAATTGTACGTTCAAATATAAAAATGTGTACAACCACAAAAAATCGTTGTCGAATTGTGAATAACACTGAGTAAGAATATTCATGTTGCGTGGCGCTTTTTTCGCGCAGGTTGAGCTAGAATACTGTTGTGTGAAATCAGTAAACCGGAGGAAGGGTAAGATGATGAACAGGGTCTGGGTTCATGGGAAATTCCAAAAGCCAAAGTGAATGAGCTACCCGAAAGCTAAGGACACGATGAAGAAACCAGACAAGGTACATACTACGAAGAAGAAAAGAGCTTAAAACAGATGTGGACATGAATGTTGTAATTCCGAGCTCGGACGTTTGAGTTTGCGGTCCGAAGTCCTCTTTGTGAGGCTCGGGAGACAGCATCTACGAGCCTCACTTCTGTCACCGTCGTCGCAACAACCTCGTTCGGTGGCTCTGTATCAGAATTATGTTCTGTTTTTTCGTCGTTGGATCTCCATCTCCATCTCCGTTTACGATGTTCTTGATGTTGGCTCCTTCGTCTTCGGTTTTCTGTTGGTTACTTGGTGGCTTTCGGTATTGTTGATGGAAATCTTAGTTGTTGGGATATTTCACGACAAAGGATAGTTCCGAGGGATTTTGATTTCTGATTTTTTTTTTTTATTTTTTTTGTTGGTTGGTTTGGGTATGGTTATCGATTTTATCCGGTTCATTTGGTTCACCCGATTTCGTTCGGTTTATGACCGATTTAGTCAATTTATATTTGATTTTGAGTTTTATTATCGATTAATCCAATTTTTCGGAAGCAACGTCATATTTCCTTTTCGATGTTCATTCCGATCGTGACATCTGTTCATCGATCGTTCGGTTTACGCTGGTAGATTTGTATTTTTTTTCAAGATGGAAATTCGCCATTTCAGAATATTAAGGAATATTATGGGCTTTTTAATCATATTTCTTATAGGTTTATTCATTTTTTTTTCAATTTCGTGTTTAACAAAAACTGTACATACGTTTTAAAATGAAAACCAGAAAAATCTTCCTAAATTTCATCTTGTGTAAAAAAAAATAACATGCTGTTGTTGTGTTTTTACTTTTTTATAGAATCAATTTTGACAAAATGGTGTACACAAATTAGAGAAAAATACATATTTAGTAAAATCTCTTTTTTATTTTTCCTCCTCCCCCTTCTTCCCGATTTCCTTCGGAAACCCTTGCCTTTTCTCATGCCTAAATCCACGCCCCTCTCTGACAATTCGCCGCCGATTTCAGCCAACGACGGAAATGACGCCGGAGATTGTTTGCCGGTCCGATCCACGGTCGTTTCCGGCAAAGAATCCGCTGGGAGCTCGAAGCTCCGCTCCAAGCGGTCAGCTTCGGACATGATCGATGGGGCAAAGGGTAAGGATGAAGCGGAGACAGTGAGAATAAAGAAGAAGAAGAAGAAAAAGACTAAGGGGCTGTCTTCTTCCTCTGAAGCTGCAACCGGTGCTGCACAAGAGGATGTTGTTTTTTCTCCTGTGGCGGGTTCGGCAGGCACCACTGTAGCGGATGTGGAGGAGGGCAAAAAGATCCCTGGAGGGAGGATTTTTACAGAGGAAGACGACGTTTTGATGTTGGAGGCTATAATTGAGTACCGTGTTAAGACAGGAACTGAACCCAGCTCTGATCCGGGAGCCTTTTATGATTTTGTCAAAGGTTCGCTCCATGTCGAAGTGTCCAAGACACAGGTCATGGACAAAATCAGGTCGCTGCAGAAGAAGTTTCGAGGTATGGTGGGAAAATATAGACATGAGCAAGAATTAGCATTCACACGGCATGACTCGAAAGTGTTTGATTTGTCAATGCAAATTTGGGGTGTGACTGATAGTATAGGAGAAAAACCGATTGGAAGTGACGCCCCCCAGATGAAACATACGGTCGGTACGATTGACACGACCGGTAAGAAACCTGTAACTCGCAGATTGCAGAAACAGAATGCGGTGGAGAAGCATCAAGAACCAGGAAATGCAGAAGATGAGGACAATTATGAGGAGAATGATAGAGATGTTCAAGTTGTCGGAAATGGGATGGATGTGGCTGCGGAGGACAGAGTTGAAGGAAAAGAGGGCAGACATGATGATGCAGACGACTTCTGGGCTCGTTTTCCATTCTTGAAGGATGGAGTTGAGACGATGTTGTCTGAAGGGGTCTTCCTCGATTTCCCGAGAAAGTTGCTGCTCGAGAAAGTTGTGTGCTTTGGCGGGGACAAAGGGAAGGAGTGGGATGCGAAATGGAAGGATCTGCGTGTGGAGGAGATGGGACTGCGTATAAGGAAGCTTGATCTTATGGCTCGGTTCTCACAGGCAGCTCTTGATGAGCTGAAGAAGTGATTGCAATGTCATCGGTACTCTTTTGCAATCTGATCTTTTAGTATGTTAGAGACAGAACCTATCTCAGTGTTCATCTAATGTCGGTTTTTAGGCCCTTTTAGGCAATAAAGCTTAGCATGATCTAGGGGAAGCTAAGGGATGGTGCTTTTTCTGAGCTTATTATAGATTCTCCATGAAACCTTGGAATGTTTTTGTTTGGCCCGAATTTCAGGTATTGCACTAATGCTGCTGCTACTACTGCTTTAAAAGCGATATGAAAGCGATATGAGTATCTTGAACCAATGTCTAGACTAATTTGACTAATTTTGGGATCGGAAGTTAGTCATCTGATTTGAAATATACACTTTTGTCAAAATTTGAGGTTTGAACTCGTGATGGGATATGTATTTTGCGTTCCGTTTCATCGGTCTCTGTGTGATGATGCGTCTGCATAATTTTGTAGAAGGTTAGAAGGGTAGCAGTGAAAAGTTGATAATTTTTAAAATCGTGAGTCATAGCCTAGATTATTATTTGTGACTGTTGGGACAAGTTTGGCTTTGAATTTAAAAAAAAAAATTAAAAAAAAATCATTTTAAAACACAAAGCCCATCCTTCCTCGAGGGATTAATCATGTCCCAATGGGCCTAATTATGATGTCTAGGGCCCATTCTTATCTTATTATAATTTGTTTTATTTAATTTTTGTAGGTCAACAATCAAATCATTGAAAATTTTAGACAACGCATAATAACCGTTGTCTTTGTACCCAATCAAGATAATCAGTTACTGTAGCGTGTCGTGCTGAAAAATAAAATAAAAAATAATTTTATTATGTCATTCAAGTACACGGACGTATAATCTGATACGGTTTCGTCATGATCTCATGTTTTTCTTTTGACCTTTTTTTTAAAATATCGATATCAATTATTACGGCTCAATAATGGGAAAAAGTCTACCCGAATTACGGGAATCCAAACAATATCTGGAGATTCGGATCCAAAAAATTAGACTAATTGATACTCCTCAGTTTAAAAATATTTGTCATTTTAGATTAATATTTTCCACGTTCAAAATATTTGTCATTCTACATTTTCAAGATATTTTTTTACAATAGTTTTCAATTTATCTCTATTAAATTTCAATAGATTATTAATGATAACATTGTTTTTATCATTAAATAAGGGTATATATAATTTTTTCTATCTTTTCTTAAAAAATGTGAAATAACCTGAAACAACAATTATTTTGAAACGGAAGGAATACTTAGGTTCGATGACAATTTCATGAACAAATTCGATAATAATTTTGAAATCTTTAAATAAATAATTTCAAAATTCACTATGTTTCCGGATACAACAAATAATCAGGTTTTGAAAATAAAAACCAAATTAAACTTGAGATGAAATTCGATAGTGGAATTCGACTTGAACGGGTATCCGAATTTATGGGAAAATTTATAAATAAAAAATCGAGATAAAATTCTGGTAATTTGACCATCATATATAAAAAAAAATTAAACTTGAGACTGAGACGCGATCTTTTACTTGAGTCTAAAAGGACGTAACTATCCTAATGCTATATTTATGGAAATAATGTATCATTATAGTTGGAAATTAATGCCAATTTGGAACGTTATATATTGTTGATATTAAACATCCAATTGAAAATTAAAAAGATTTCATCGATTTCGGGTCAACACTCTGATTGATACGGAATGGATATTTTGCATTTAAATATGACAACTCGTTGCGTAAGATTTTGTTTTATCTTTAAAAAAAAAATCGTATAATTTATATTTAAATTCATTATTATTAAGGTCCGATTGCTGCTTTGTCAAGCTTCTTACGTAGAGGCACGGCTTTTATTTATGTGTTGCCTTAACGACCTACATTGATTTGAATGGGGTCATAGGCCCCCACCCACTTAATTTAAAAAAATAACCAATTCCTTTTAAAAAAAATATGTAAAATTTTAAACTAAATTGTTAAATGAACCCAGTGAAATTTAATTTATCACATGATAAAATTAAATTTGCCCCTAGTTATAATTGTTTCTGGGTATTGTAACATTTTATACGCTAAAATCAGTAAAGTCGACGATATGAAGAGTGCGATTTAGTTTTCAATTTCTTGCGGAAGAAGTAACTGTCACACTCCTTTTGTAATATTCCATATATATATATATACACACACATATATATATATGTGTGTGGAAGAAGAATATAATCTATGGAAGTGGATTATTACCAATATTGGAATAGATTGCAAATTTGTAATTATTGTCACATGCCATTGTGAATATATATCAAAAGAATCCAGAGAGTACTTATATATAAGGAATAGTTTTTTGGTCGGTAAAGCCGTTATTTTACTATTTTGGGCCGTTGACCGTCTCCCGTATTTTCATTACTTGATGATCATTTGTTTATATAAAGAGCCGTTTGGAAAGTGTAGATCATGCAACACAAAACCCTAAAGTGATTAACATAGTTAATTGGGAAGGAAGATGGTAGACTTTGGTGGGGTTTGGCCCGTGATAGTTTCGCTCGTGCTCGTGAAGATCTGCCACTGGTTTTACCGATGGCGAAACCCGAAGTGCAGAGGGAAACTTCCTCCGGGAAAGATGGGTTTCCCGATCATCGGAGAGACTTTCCAGTTCATGAAACCCCATGACCTGTCTCGACCGATTTCTCCGTTTCTCGAGAAGAAAACGCTCAGGTTTCGTTCACATCATCCCTCTTTGCCGCACGTTTTTCTTCTCTCTTTCTTTCGCGTAACCAGCTCCTCGTCACGCTTTGACATGTTACAGATACGGACCCGTGTTTCGGACGAGTTTATTCGGGGCAAAAGTCGTAATGTCGACAGATCCTGAGGTGAACATGGAGATGGCGAAGCTGAACTCTCGGCTGGGAGCCATCAAGAGCTTAAAGCGGCTCTTTGGAGAAAACAACGTCTTCCTGCAGACCGACGACATTCACAGATATGTCCGTAGCTTGACTTTCCGACTCTTCGGTTCGGAAAGCTTGAAATGCAGAATCATCCACGACCTCGATTCTCTGACCCGCAAGTGTTTCGAGGACGCTGCCGCCAGCGGTGCTTTCGACGTCAAAGAGACGGCGGCAAATGTTCGTTTCAGATTCTCAAATTCCAACTTATCCACACATTTTCAATCAAGATTAACATTTTCTTTCTTCTTCCTCTTGTTCTTGGCTATAAACATTTACAGATGATGACTGAATTAGCCGCAAAGAAGGTCATGGGTGAGATGGAACCGGAAGCTGCAAAAGAGCTTGAACTCTGCTGGAGAGCTTTCCGCACGAGCTGGTTTCAGTTTCCTTTCACTATCCCTGGAACCACCGTCTATAAATTCGTCAAGGTATTATCGCACATTCTCTATGTAACGCTGATCGAGAACATGAATTCGCGGTATCGTATGATCTCAAGTGTAAAGCCATTTGTACGAATCTTATTCTTGAAAGGCGCGAAAGCGGGCAATGAAGATCCTAAAGGAATTGGTTCGGAGGAAGGAAGAATCAAAAGAGGGACTTGGCGATTTCTTGGACATAGTATTTGGGGAGATGGACCGGGGAGGAGCTCTGGATATACAGAAAGCCGTGGACTTGATATTCACGTTTTTCGTCGTTGCCCAGGAAACAACTCCCGGAATCCTCGCCGCAACCGTGAAGCTTATAGCCGGCAGATCCGATGTCATGCAGGAGTTGCAGGTTCGAATTCATTGTTTCCACAATCTTTTCATAAACCACTATATATTTTGCCCAAATTTTTCAGAATATTCCGCAAGGTAAGGTTTGCTGCATACACCCTTATGGTGGGATCCTTCCCGGTACCCCGCTCTGCCGGGATCTTTTGTGCATCAGACAACCTTTTACTATGTACCTTTGACAAACACATGTACCGCGACTGAGTGTTTACAGAGAGAGCACGAGAGAATTGTTCAGAGCCGGGCGGATAAGGAGGCGGGATTGACGTGGGAAGAATACAAGTCCATGACTTTCACACACATGGTGAGTTGCAATATTGTTTCGTAAACATTCGTGTGTGTATGTATGTATGTATACGCTTGCGCTCAATTTCACTTTCAGGTTGTCAAAGAATCGCTCCGGTTCACAAGCGCTCAACCTACGGTGCATAGAACAACAGCTCAGGATATCGAGATCGGAGGCGAGTTATATCCAAGTCATTTGCCTAAGATTCAAACTCCCTATCGTATATATATAATCGGCTCGATCGGGAAGCTAACCGACGGGGGAGAACGTGAACTTTGCAGGGTACACAATGCCAGCCGGGTGGATATTCTTGGGAATTCCTCTTGTACATTTTGATCAAGAAACATACGAAGATCCATTCGCATTCAACCCATGGCGGTGGAAGGTAAAATAAATATAGAGCTCGAATGTTTCCGAAATGTGACCCCCGCCCCGACACTAATCTCGTGGCACGGACAAAAAACGAACGACCGTTTCAGGGAAAAGATCTGCAAGCGACGTTGTCCAAGAGTTTCATGCCTTTCGGCGCCGGCCCCACGCATTGCGTCGGGGCCGAGTTTGCGAAACTGGCAATAGGAGTTTTCGTCCATCACCTGTCCCAATACAGGTTTTTTTATATATCCCTTCAGTATACAACGCACACACATATATATAGAGATAGTTGTATATATATATATGTGAACAATATATAATCCAAAATCTAAAACGATTTCGGGAAAAAATAATATTCGATTTGAGTGGAAGTATATAGCAGTAATACACGATCTGCCTGGTTGATGTTTTTCAGTTGGTCGATGAACAAAGAGACCAGAGTGCTTCGAAGTTACACACTGAGATATCCGAGCGGCTGCAAAGTCCAGATCTCCAAGGCGACGGAAGAATAAAGATGCACTATATGTAATCTTTGCCATTATAATGATTGGCGGTGTTATATATATATGTGTGTGTGTGTGTGTGTGTGTGAAGAATGTTACTGCTGCTTGAGCAGAAAGTGTGTGAATGACCAAACTATGTCTACGTACCCATGATTTTATGCATATTATGTACGAACTGTTTCCATATATAGTGCATAAATATATATATATATATATGATTTACTTGTTGTATGATTGTGGTTCCGTTGCAAGGTGTGGGATTTGTCCAAATCGCTCCATTTCGCCCCGGAATTCTATTATATACATACCTCAAAACCCTTAAAAAAATATATTTAAATTTATCAACTTTCATAAAATAAAACATGATTTTATAATCCTTATTATTTTTAATCTTAAAAAATATTTGAAGTTGTCAATTTTCATAAAATAAAACCTTAAATTTATTTTTTACCAAATAAAATCCAAACTTGATTTTTTAGGGGCATTATCAAAAATACCCTTACTTTGCTATTTTGACTTCAACACATACATTTCTTCAACTGTGATCATCTGACCCAAGTGACCCGAAATATAGTATGATCACATATTATATCATTACTCATAACGTTAACTTTATGATGTTTTAATCAAATGATTAGTAAGATATACAAGGTGAACATAATGTATTAGTGTGGTCACCATAAATTTAACGTTATAATCAATAAAATCAAAATGTGACAATACTATATTTTGGATCACAAGAGTCACATTGTCACAATTGGAGAAGGGTATGTGTTGTAGTAAAAATAGCAAAGTAAGAGTATTTTTTTATATAATGCCTTTTTAAGCTATATATAAATATAGATTTTATAATATTTGTCATTTTTAAACCCAATATAGTGTACCGATATCGGTACATATAGATCATGATAATATGTCAAATATAGTCAAATATGTATTCGGGTTTAAAAATGGCTACGATTATAAAATTCGTGTTTATTTTTTATTGAAAAATAAATTAGGGTTTTATTTGATAAAAAATAAAGTTTGGGTTTTGTTTTGTAAAAATTGAGAATTTTACATTTTTTTTTTGAATTTTTTTCCTATACATAAAGAAGCTATGTATATGAAGAGAATAATTTCATTTATAAGCGTACTATTATGATTCAAACTAACCTTTTTTTGTTTTTCAATTAGTGTAATATCAATTGTCGGTACACTGCGGCTTACGATGAGAACACTAAATGCCCACACCAAGTAACTTCCACGTCGACGTCAACGGTCTACGTAAGGACATCAGATTCTGATTCTACCCTGAAGATTTGTAATTGCGACCAACTGTCATTTGCATACTTATTTTATTATCAAACCAATGTTTAATAATAACCAAATAAAAAAAAAAGTCAAGATATGATATTGACGAGATCATGCACAACTATTTTTTTTTTTGTATGAAAATTTTGTGCATAAAAATAATCACTATGGAGTATGAACGCATCCCCCCAGTGTAGATAATTATGCAGTTGGAATAAAATAGAAATAAATACCATATTTAATTCCGTAAGGAAATATCTCTTAATTATTCTTACCCTAATACCGGGAGGATGGTTGTTTTGAATTAAATATGTTTAAAATGATTATCTCTAAAATATGATTATGCAGAATTATAGTCTCATCAGGAAAATTAAAAATTGCAGCATTATGGCAGTTGACTTTGTCGTATTAAAATTTTAAATGGAAAGGAATGGTCACGTTACATCTTTATTGCCTCGATTATTTTTTTATATATATTTTTATAAAATGGATTCTTGCGTGTGCATGGGATATTCGGATGAAAATTTTGATTCGATGATAACTTTGTAAAGAAATCAGATGATTTTTTTTTTAAAAAAAATAGGTTTACTTTATGATAGTTATGCAAATAAATCAAGTTATTATGTAAATAGTTATGGATACCAAAAACATTATTAGATATCCAAAATATTCATATAAGTGATATCAAAATTTTCTAAACAAATTCAAACTGGATTTGGATATCTGGTTATTTATTTATATATTTAAACTCAAATCTTATCGATTCATATATTATAGTTTATTTTATTCGTACAATTATTAACTCGTTTAATATTTCTAATTTCATTAATAGCAATTTTGGCCCCAATTAGTTTATCATCTTTCTCTTTCTTTACGTGTTTTTTAAGTATATAATATAAAATATTTATATATTTAAATCAAATCATGCGATTGCTGGCACCATTTACTTTAATTACATTATAAATATTTAAAATTTTCAATTTGCATTGTCATGTCAGATTTTCCATATCAAAATGAGATAACGAATCCTTACAAACAAATAATATTTTGTTCATAGCTTTGAAGTTTGCAGCGATCGATGTTTGAGAACCCCATAATGATATTTATACCAATTGTTGACTATTCAAATTATACACGAACATATATTTTACTCTTTACGAGACGCATATTTTATTGGTAGTGAAAATGAAAGTGGAACGAATATATAGATGTCTATCGTTTATTTTTAGTTCATATGTTAAAAAAGTATTAATCATTATGAGATTATGTTTTATTTTATTGGAAAAATCCAAAAAAAAAATTTATTAGCAAATTATGATATTAATAACATACTACTGGTGTCGGTGTTTTGGAGTCAACTTTTCATTTTCTATCCGCAAATCCGCAAACGCCGTTAAATGTTTCTGGGTAATTTTTAAAATTTTCAAATGTTAAATAATTATATGAAAGAATTGGGGACTTTTTTATTTTTAAATCCCAAAAAATATGTGAATTTATCAATTTTTATAAAATAAAATTTAAATTTTATTTTTTACCAAATAAAACCTCAATTTAATTTTTGAATTATAAATAAAACTAAATTTTATAACAATTATCATTTTTAAATTTATCACTAATCTACCATATTGATATTCGTAGTATATAGATAATGACATATCAAATATAATCAAAATATCGATTTATCACATCAAATATTAGCACGTCATGTCAATATTTAGGTTTTAAAGTGATAATGATTATAAAATTTGGATTTAATTTCGAATAAAAATGAAGTTAAAGTTTTATTTGATAAAAAAATAAAGTTTAGGTTTTGTTTTGTAAAAATTGAGAAGTTTTAATATTTTTTTAGAAATTTAAAAGTTTAATTTTAATGTATCTTTGACAAAATTGGATGATATTTTTGGATTTTTCCTATTTTTATAAGATAAATAACAAGTCATCATCCTCCAACACAGAAGACCACATCGAAGCTACAGTCCCATTGTCTGTTCCCTCCTCTTCAAACCAACGAAAAGAGCAAAAAAAAAATGAAGTTAAAGGCCATCGCCAAAGAATTGATCAAACCTTCTTCACCAACACCGAACAACCTTCAAACCATACAACTTTCTGTCGTCGATCACTTGTGCTTGCCCTTTTACGTAGCCGCGGTTTTCTTCTACCACGTGGAAGACGGTTCCATGACAGAAGACACCATCTCTCAGAAGCTCAAGAATTCCCTGTCCGAGACTCTGACCCGTTTCTACCCACTCGCCGGACAGATAGAAGGCGTCTCTATCCATTGCAACGACAAAGGCGCCGTCTTCACCGAGGCTCGTGCCGATTCCACACTCTCCGATTTCCTCAGAAGCCTTGATCTTGCTTCCCTCGAGCATTTCCTCCCCGCCATCGGCTCAGGAGAATCTCCTGCCTCGTGGCCTTTGTTACATGTCCAAGTCAGTTTCTTCAGGTCTGGAGGGATGGCGATCACAGTGTGTGTTTCCCACAAGATTTGCGATGTCGCTTCGTTAGTAACATTCGTCCGCGCTTGGGCTGCTGCTACAAAAGGGCATGCTGATGAGGTGAATCCTCGATTCGCAGAATCATCCATATACCCTCCTGCAGATTCCCTCCATTGCCCTTCTGTCGATGGGCTTTTCAAGGATAGAGGGACGTGCTCAATGAAGAGATTCGTGTTCGATCCCTCTAAGATTGCAGAGCTGAAAAGGAAAGCCACAAGCGACGATGTGCCAGACCCGTCACGCGTTGAAGCCATCGCAACGCTTATATGGAGATGTGCCACAAAGGCGACACGTTCAAACTCGACCACAAAAAAGGCATCATCCATGAATCAAGCGATGGACTTGCGGCTTAGGATTCCATCCACAGAGAACGCGATCGGGAATCTCCAAACTTCGTTTTTTCTGAAGGAAGGTCCGGAAAGTGAGATGGAAATTGGAGAAGTTGTTACCAAGTTTAGGAACGCAAAGGAGGAAATGGAGGAGATGATCAGAGAGAATCTACTAGCCCACGGGACAACCCCGACACTCGGCGAGAAGCTGATTAACACGACGGCGAATACATTCTTGGAGTTGAGACTTGAAATGGACATATACCCTGTAACAAGTTGGTGCAGAAAGCCGTTTTACGAGGCCGATTTCGGATGGGGAAGGCCGGCATGGGTGGCACCCGGCTCTCACACTCTGTACAAGAACTCTGCTCATGTGATATTGATGGACACAAAGGAGGGTGAAGGGGTAGAAGCATGGGTATGTCTGCCTGAGCAAGACATGTCCAAATTCGAGCATGATGAGGAGATTCTTGCTTATGCTACACCAAACCCATGTTTCTTGATATAGCATCTCCATCTCATTTCCATCTCATCGTATTTCAACTCTGTTGCTTTTGAATAAGGCCCTCGGCCTCGCCCGTTTATGATGGTTTTGAGTATGAATGTATGTGTGTGAGTTTGAATACCTTTGAAAATGTATCTATCTATTTATATATATATATATATATATTGCTCCGATGCCAGAGAAATCTAAAGGTAAAAGTTGAAGCTTGCCTGAAACAGGATGAAACCCTCGTTGAGTGCAGCTGGTCCCGCTCAAAGTCTGGTGATAAAACAACACACCAAGAGAGTGTTCCAAAGCAAAGGAGAAAGAAGCACGAGCTTGACAAAATGTTGGAAAGATTTACGTGAAGAATATGCTGATGAGAAAATGTTGGAAAGATCCACAAACAGACAGAGGGAGAAAGCTTTGAGAGGCATAAAAGGCAAACCAAAACCTGAACGGCATTCTAATGGAGGAACAACAACCACTAATGACTAATATTAGTTAAGAACATGTCAACACAACACCATGTCACTGACATATTATCTAAACGGTCCTAGAGGTTTAATACTACATCTCCACATTTCAAACAAAACATCACACACACACACATATATATATATATCACCATTTATACCTAATGGCCAAAACCAGCCACGTTTGCCTTCACTGCCTCGAATATCAGCCTCGCCGCCTCGCCAATGAACTCATTCCGCTGCAAAAGCAGTTCCATCTGACCAGCCCGGATCTTCTTCCACTTCTCCTCTAATTCTCTCTTCTTTGCTCCATCAACCATATCCCAACCTTCCATCACTGCAAGCTCATTAAATCCGTCATCGTTCTCCATTTTCAACAAAGATGCCATATCTCTGCCTGTAATACCCATGTTCTTGCAACCTACGGGAGCAAAATTACTCACAACCTCTTTATCTTCTTCCATTTTCGCCTCTCCCCTCTTAGGTGAAGCAAGAACAACCCGAGCTTTGGAGCTCCCTCCCTGATTCTTCTTCGACTTGGCTGATTTCTGCGCAGATTGCAGAGCTCCATCGCTACCCCATATTTTCTTCCACAAATCAAAGGCCTTTTGATCATGGGCCTTTGAATAAACACGGTCTTCTCCGTTCTTCCCCATCTTAACTGACTTCTTGACCGATTTCTCAAACTTCTTCCTCAATCTCCTAATCTTATCAAATAGCTGAGCTCTAGTAGCGTTAAAATTGATAGATTTCTTCACGAATTCACAGAATGCATCCGTATGATCATAGGGGTCTCCATTATTAGCTGTGAATTCGAGCATACCTCGTAGTAAAGCGATCTCATCCTCTTCACTAAATAATCTCTGAAACAGCTGCTTCTTGGAATCCTCTCCCGTTTTCTTACTCTCACTGTCATCGGGCTTTTTCACGTCTTCCATCTTCTTCGCCCTCTTTGATGCGTTACCCTCTTTCCCCATCTCCGTCGAGGGGCGCTTGGCTGCGGAATTCGCCGGCAAACCCATTGGCTTCGATACCTTGCCCTCTTTCCCCAGCTCCGTCGAGGGGCGCTTGGCCGCGGGATTCGCCGGCAAATCTACAACATCCGATCTGGGTTTGTTAGGTTCTCGCGTTGGTTTGGTAGCGAGAGGCTTCACAGCATCGTTGGTGATTCTCTCAGGCTCAGATTCCGACTCAGACTCCGTCTGAGAACCGGACTCGGATTCAGACTCCGAAGCTTCCGGCTTCCGATTCAGATTCCTCGCCGCCACCGGAGCTGTAGCCTCCGGCCTCTTCTTCACCGGAGGGTCGACTTCGTCATCGGAAGCTAGCCCCTCTTTCTTCTCGTCCTGATCCGTCTCTTCCTCAGATGAAGACTCTACTTCATCTTCGTCTTCACTTGAAGACGCAGCAGGGGGGCTCTCGACGGGATCAGGCCGCTTCGGTGCCATCGAACAGGGCTCGTCGTCAAAGGTTTGGAAGACACAAAGAAAATTAGGGTTTTCTCGTTCGAAAGATGAGCTGATGCCCGATGGAGCCTCTAAGGCCCTGAGAGGGTTACTCGAAAGTTATATGACCGAGTCAAACAAAAGATCTTTCAAGCAAAATAAAATAAACAAATCATCTCTTGAGAAACGGGATTAATTACCATTTTATATAATTTCGTTGTATTTGAAATACTGACAACAATATTGTAAAATGGTGGCAATGACCACATGCTTCAAAACTGATTTCAGCGGAATAATTATGACACAGATAATTTAACAAAAAAAATTACGGCATAGATAATAATATTGGACCGAGAATAATAGTATCTTAGGAGAAATATTTATTAAGGATTGAAGGAATACTTAAACGATAGAATTATCTCATTTAAAAAATTTAAGAGGATTAATTTACATTGTTCTAGTATCGGTTTTGTCACAAAAAAGAATATTTTTCACATAAACTTTTTTTTTTGGATTACATAATTAATTACCAAAACAAATAACATAATAAAATGATGAAATTAAGCCTGCGTGTTTGCATTGTGATTTGAGCCCAACTTCGTTACATTATATTTTCCCCGCAAAAGATGAGAATTTACATCGGAGAAACACCAATCAAAACAACCACCCGACATAACATGCTTCAGACAAAAAAAAAACAGTGAAGAACATACCACTGTTCCCCCCCCCCCCCAAAAAAAAAAAGAAGCTCTCCATCACAAATTCTATAGTTATTCCACATAGCTCTGCGTGTTACAGAGGAATGCCCAGTAATAATTTAGCATATGATCAGTTGGTTTCACCCGATCCCACCTTCCCGTGCAAAATATCGCGTAGGCGTCGGCCGCATACCTGTATACTCCCGTATGCAGAGACTGTGAATACTCGAAAGGTGGCATCCGGAGAAGACGAAGAATGAAACCGAAAACTTACTTTCCAATGCCATGTAGTTGAGTGACATGGGTCCAGCTATCTTCGAGATACTCGTGGGAAAACCGCTGTATCATGGCCGCTCTCTTCTTCTGCAGTCCAAGTGTCTTTATGATCTGCTCTATCTCCTCTGTTCGAACTTCAGTTGCTGTCTTCGCGTCAGGACACAAAGCAAACAAGTCTGTTATGATTCTCCGAGCCTGCAATCAGTTCAAGCCTTGCTCCTGATGAGCATCCACATCTTTTTTGGAAAGGGGAAAGAAATGAAACAGAAACAGAAACAGAACCAACTCTTCAAAGATAGTTCTACCAAACTCAACAAGAACGGGAACCTGCTTTTCCCCTTGGAAGGTTTTGGTCGGTGTTACCAGTTTCGGGTCACCACAGTTCATTCTGCTAATTCTGATTTTAATGGATAGCCAATCAAAACACTCATCAGACCCAGGACTACATTAAATATGCACCCAAAATTTGATAAGGTTTCTTTCACATGCCAAATCTGTTTCATAATATGAGACTGCAGAGATTCCATATCAAGAAACTAAAAAAAGTTCCAAAACCAGTGATGGCTTCCTACTGATTACACAAAAAAGTTTAGAAACGCAGAGCTTTTCCAGTTTAGAATGCTCATTATGCAATAGCCTGCAAAAAGATCTATATTATTTGACCATTGAATCCATTTTTGGTTTGTGCAGAAACGGAAAAAGAAAAAGAAAAGAGAAGGGGAAGCCCCCTGTCTCAAGAATGATTTGAGTGTGCTAATTACATTCAGAGATTAAAAAAAGGACGTGCAATAACAAGGACCGATCATTCATTAGTCACACTTATACACCTTATCTGATTTGATAACCAACCAAGGAGACAAAAAGGCAAGCACTTTTAAACAATTCCTATAGTCAGAACACCATTTTGAAAAGGGGTGAAAACAGAAATAAGGGGAAACCTGGGCACCAGAAGTTCTGTTGAGAAGCATACATATGACCATCACCCTCCATGGATCATGCCAATGATCTTCTTGAATTAGATTATACTGGGAACGAGGGGGCACCCACATGTCATCTGGTGTTTTCCGCATGTACGCCTCATCAACCTTCTGAGCACGAGAAAGAACAGGAGACACAAGTGGCGTTTTCCTCACCCGTGTACTCCTTTCTTTCACTGGGCTTTCCTCCGTGTTTATGTGATGGAAATACCTTGAGACTTTCACGACTTCAGAACACTGACACGAATTTCCTAACGCATTTGACTGTTCTGAACTCGCTGCCTGGAAGTACCGAGAAACCACTCGGACTTCAGCTTGAAGTTCACTGCTTCTTTCCCTGCTATTCCTTCTTTTCTGTGAAGAAGAAACACTGCTAACATCATTTCTGTCTTCTGGTTTCCCCAATGCAATGCACGAGGAAATAACATCAGTTCTTCTCTTAATTCTAGGATTGGCCTCTTCATCCCCTGACTTATTGTAATCACATGCATTTCTTTCACTCCTCAGCTCAGAACCACCTTTGTATGCAAACCGAGAGAGCAAATCATCCAAGTTCTTCAACAGATTCACTTCAAGAGAAACCGAGTCATTAGTCTTTTGACTCTTCTCTGTTACTTCCTTCTCAACGCTGCCATGGCAATCATCATCACCGTTACCAAAATCAAGAACCAAATTCCGCTTCCCTAAACGATATTCCGTGCATCTCCTAAAATTTTTACAACCCCAACAACCAGTAACTTTGTCGAAATATACCCATCCCTCCTCACCGACTGCAGTTTCTTCTTCTTCTTCTTCTTCTTCAACTCTTCCTACCCTATTTCTGCTCTCGTCAGCGCAACCCAAATCTCGAATTCCGCCGTCATCCTCACTAAGCAAACGAATCGATGGTATTTCATCCCTTACCTCGAGAATTGGGTCGGTCCTGATTCTCTTTTTCTTCCTCTTCATGTTCCTTTTATGAGTTCGATCATGGAGATAGGGCGAATCCACCGGAATCCTGACCAGGGAAGAAGAATCCGCGTCTCCTAGAGATTTCTTCGAGAAATACGGAGAAACAACCGTGGATTTATTCTCCACTCTATTCTCCCCTTCTTCCATCTAGTCTCTTCTTCATTAGCATGAACCCTAAGGCTGATTTTAACCAATTTTGTTCTCCTATAATGGTTTTTTTCTATATGTAATTCTTCCCCTTTGTTATTTCTCGGTCAAACCCAGAAAAAAATTCTTAAACTTTACCGCTTACTAAAATTAAACTTTATATTTAAAATATAAAATATGTTCATTAAAAAACTTTAAACTATACAACAAACTAACAAAAACAAGTGCAAATGAAAGGAAACATTTTGGATGCGTTATTTGAATTTGTGAAGAAGAAGTCTGTCAATTTTATTTCGTAGTTCCTTATATACTGTATCTATATAATACGATATACATACGTCGCGCATTTTACTCACATAACTGACTTGATCGTATCTATTTCTTCGGTATACCACCGAAAACATAACCTAATAATTTTTTTAAAAATAGCGATATTACCATTAATGAATTCGTATATTTTGCTCGTTCGAAAACAATTTTGTTATTACGATTTCATAATTAATTCGAAATATAATTGCGATTAATTCTGACAAAAAATTCATCTGTCAAATGTTAAAAATAACTACATTTTTTTTTCTCATCATACGTACTTTTTATTTTAGTTATATATTAATATATATTAGTCGTAATAAAGTCGTAAAAAATTGAAAAAAAACAAGATATTTCGGACTTTTTCAATCGAGAAGTGATATAAAAATTGAAAAAAAAAATTGTTTTTTTATGGTGCACCGAAAAAATAGGTGCACTCAAGTCAAGTGTATCATTTGAGTAAAATACGCGCGTCAATTACATAATTAAAAAATAAACATTCCGTCGGCTTCAACCACTAGTGCCCAGTGATTGATGAGATGGTCACATTGTTGATGGAGACGTTACGGTCACGTGGCTCGGAGGATTCTGCGTTTGTAACGCGCCATCTCGGTATAAACGCGGGTGGCTTTGGCTCGGGGAGGTCTGCGTCTTCTGCACCGAGCATCCAAACCACGGCTGAAACGCTCGGCCTATCGGTTGCAAGATCCTGCACGCACAAAAGGCCGACGTGGATGCATTTCCGTACTTCCCTTTCAAAACGCTCCTCGTAGAACTCGGGATCCGCAAGATCGACAACCTTGTCTTCGTTCCACAGCCTCCACGCCTGTAAAAATCGAGCTCAACGTGAGGATCTCGGGTTTTTTTTTTTTTAAGAAAATCAAGAAACTGCAAGTAAAAGTACTTGTTTCAGTGCTGAGTTACATGAGTTAAAAGGTTCATGGCTTCCTCGTCGTCGAGGAAACCTGAGTTTCTTCTCCCGCTGATGATCTCTAACAGTATAACGCCTAAACTGAAAACATCGGATTTCTCTGAAAACAATCCTCCCACTGCGTATTCCGGCGACATATATCCGCTGCAGAAGCAAAATTTCCGTTCAAACGGTAAAGTTCAATGAGAGATAGATACTTAGATATGGTAGAAAGGACTACTTACTATGTCCCAACAACTCTCCGGGTATTGGCTTCGCCTTCGTTCCCCCGGAAAACCCTTGCAAGCCCGAAATCCGAAATTTTCGGGTTCAGATCTTCATCTAACAAGATGTTGCTTGCTTTCAGATCTCTATGTATGACTCTTAGCCTTGAATCCCTGTGAATGTACAAAAGACCTCTGCATATTCCTTCGATTATGCTGAAGCGTGTCTTCCAATTGAGAAGTTTTCTGTTTACCGCGTCTGAATTACGCAGCGGTGGAACGTAAAAAGAGAACGTCAGCTTCTGTTGACAGACCTTACAATGAGTTGCAGATGGCAAATAGGTGCAGAAGTGTTTTGAGTTACCGAATATATACGAATCTAGGCTCTTCTTTGGCATGAACTCATAGACCGACATCCTCTCTTCTCCTTCAATGCGGCAGCCGAGTAATCTCACCAGATTCCGATGTTGCAACTTAGAAATCGCTACCACTTCGTTCACGAGTTCGTTGAGTCCTTGTCCCGATGCTCGTGAGAGCCTCTTCACCGCGATATCTCGCCCTTCTTGTAATTTCCCCTGAAACCAAACTACCAAAACCGTCAAGACAAGGCATAAAACATATATCAGAAGAGAAAAGAGTCGTTCTTACCTTGTAAACAGGACCGAAGCCTCCTTGCCCGATCTTGTTATTGTGGACATGATGGCTTCAATAGGAGAAATGGCAGACAAAGGCAATTGGGGATCAATTTTTTATTTGAAAAAAATGAGAACCATTCGAGGTGATTAGTTGGTGGCATTCATTCTCCACCACAGCATTGCTCGGACGTTTGGCTATAAATAGCCACCTTAGTTGCTGCCTAAATCATCACCAACAAGCATCAAAACACAGAAGAAAAATAAGAGTCTGAGTTGAAGAGTTTTCTTCTTCAACAAGAAATCTCTTTTGGGTCCTTTTTTTGAGGGTTTTCAGGGTTTCTTTTTTTGGGTATCCAAGAAATTTGTTCGGTGAGATTCTTGGATACACTTTGGTTATTTTTCTTCTGAGTGTTACGAGAGAAAGGGTGTTTCTTGGGAATTTTGGGAGTGAGGTTGAGTGTGTTTTTTTTATTCCACATTTGTTCACCGATATAGTGGAATCTGTTTTTTCTTCCTCGCTGTGGACGTAGGCATTCTGCCGAACCACGTTAAATTCCGGTGTCTTTTATTTTCTCTCGTTAGATTCCATCGTCTCGTATTTGAGACCCGGTACGCTTCCGCACAACAATTGGTATCAGAGCCGCGGTACCTTTTACCAAGGCACGGGTCGATTTGAAAAATAAAAAAAAAATTGTGATTTGGAGTTATGGCCCAGGAGACCACCGAAACACCGGCGGTAGTTGCAATTCCACCAGTTGGCTCATCATCGTCGTCGACCGTCCGATCCTCGGCGTCATCGGGAAGGACGGTGGTGACGAATGCGAAGATCGAGGTGGAGAAGTTCAACGGGACCAATAATTTCAGCTTGTGGCAAGGCGAGATGATGGATGCGCTTTATCAGCAAGAGCTTCTCGTTGCTCTTGATTCGGGTCCCGTTGAACTTCTCCACCTCGATCTTCGCATTCGTCACCACCGTCCTTCCCGATGACGCCGAGGATCGGACGGTCGACGACGATGATGAGCCAACTGGTGGAATTGCAACTACCGCCGGTGTTTCGGTGGTTTCATGGGCCATAACTCCAAATCACAATTTTTTTTTAATTTTTCAAATTGACCCGTGCCTTGGTAAAAGGTACCGCGGCTCTGATACCAATTGTTGTGCGGAAGCGTACCGGGTCTCAAATAACTCCGTCACCAGCTTGTTGAACTCCGATAGGTGGTTGTACATCGTAGTGCCCGATTGGTACTGCAGGCGGAACAACTTCTTCTTCAAGTACAACCGGTTCTGGCAACTCTTCGTCAGGAACTGCTTCTCCAACTCTCTCCAAAGTTTGCTTGCAGATGTCTCCTTCATATAAGGGAGTTTTAGCTCCCTTGTTAAACACGATTTCCTTCTGATCCTTTTTCCGGATCTCCCGATTGTACAAAGCTGCACATACTTCATCGAAACGGATCTGCTCCTTTCCATGAAGTATCATAGTGATAAGGTTCTCGTATTCTTCGGGTAGAGAGTTCAGGAGGAGAAGAGCCTTATCCTCATCCTTGACCATTTCATCAAGGTTTTCCAAGCCTATGCTGCTCGAGGTCGTGAACAGACTCATAAGCCTGGAAAGAAAAAGAAGGGTAGATCTCGCTCAAAAGATAGACTTGCGAAGGATGAATGTGCCTTTTGTCATGAAACTGGGCACTGGAAAAAGGATTGTCCAAAGCTGAAAAAGAAAGAAAATGGGAAGGTCGTTTCAAAGTCGACTTCAGACGCCTTTGTCGCCAAACATGAAGATGACGAGTCAGAGTTCGTATTGATCGGCACATCGTCAAAATCTCACTCTGACGAGTGGATTATGGACTCGGGTTGCACCTATCATATGTGTTTCAACAAGGAGTGGTTCTTCAACTTTGAAGAACTAGATGGAGGAGTTGTTTACATGGGCAACAATGACGCTCTACAAGCAACCGGGATAGGTTCAATCCGACTGAGGTGCCAGGCGGAACAACTTCTTCTTCAAGTACAACCGGTTCTGGCAACTCTTCGTCAGGAACTGCTTCTCCAACTCTCTCCAAAGTTTGCTTGCAGATGTCTCCTTCATATAAGGGAGTTTTAGCTCCCTTGTTAAACACGAACGGATTACCCTGAAAGGAGTAAGGAAGAATAACTTGTACTATTTCAAAGGTAGTACGGTTATTGGAACAATTGCTGTTACGACTGGAGAAGATAAGGATTCTGAGGTCACCAGGCTGTGGCACATGCGCCTGGGACATCCTGGAGAGAAGGCTTTGCAAAACCTCGTCAAACAAGGTGTGCTGAAAGGAGCCAGGCTATGCAAGTTGGAGTTTTGTGAGCATTGTGTTCTTGGAAAGCAATCAAAAGTGAAGTTTGGGACGGCTATCCACAACACCGAAGGTATTCTGGATTATGTCCATTCAGACGTATGGGGGCCTACAAGGGAGACCTCGTTAGGTGGTGGTCGGTATTTTGTCACTTTTGTTGACGACTTTTCAAGAAGAGTATGGGTGTACGTGATGAAGACCAAGGATGAAGTGTTGAATTGCTTCCTTAAATGGAAAAATATGGTGGAGAACCAGACTGGGAGGAAGATCAAGCGTCTCCGAACAGACAATGGAAGAGAGTACATGAGTGATCCACTAGCCAAAATCTGTCAAGATGATGGCATTGTCAGACACTTCACAGTTCGAAATAATCCGCAACAGAATGGGGTGGCAGAACGCATGAACCGAACTTTACTGGAGAAGATTCGGTGTATGTTGTCTAATGCTGGATTAGACAAACGGTTTTGGGCTGAGGCTGTGACGTATGCGAGTCATCTCATCAACCGGTTACCATCTGCTGCAATTGGAGACAAGACACCCATGGAAGTTTGGTATGGCAAACCTGCTAATGATTATGATTCCTTACACATATTCGGTTCAGTTGTTTACTATCATGTGAAGGAATCAAAGTTGGATCCCAGAGCTAAGAAGTCGCTGTTCATGGGGATTTCACCAGGGGTGAAAGGATATCGTGTTTGGTGTCTTGAATCAAAGAAGATCATTGTTAGTAGGGATGTCACATTTGATGAGCTAACCATGTTGAAGAAGCAAGTTGGTGGTACTCAGCAGCAGGTGGAGAGTAGTCCACAGGAGGTGGAGTTTGAGACTGCGAAGTTTGTTCCAGCAAACGAAGAACCTCCTATGGGAGAGGAGGATGTTGAAAATTCTGAAGACGATGAGGTTTCCACCCAAGAGCCTCAGAAGGAACTTCCCATTGCACTTCGAAAGCCGACGAGAACGTTGAAAATGCCTGCTCGATATGCTGCGGTGGCTTTTGCACTTCCGGTGATTGATGCTGATACTCCTATCACTTACAAGGATGTAGTCAAGAGTTCTGAAAGTGAGAAGTGGAAGAAAGCTATGGAGGAAGAGATGGAATCTCTCCGGAAGAACAATACCTGGAAGCTAGCAAAGTTACCAAGTGGAAAGAAGGCGATTGGGTGCAAATGGGTATTTGCAAAGAAAGAAGGATTTCCTGAAAAGACTGACGTCCGCTACAAGGCAAGATTGGTAGCAAAAGGCTACGCTCAGAAGGAGGGTATAGACTACAATGAGGTATTTTCTCCAGTTGTGAAACATACCTCCATTCGGATTTTGTTGGCCTTGGTAGTACAGTTTGATTTGGAGCTAGCACAACTCGATGTGAAGACGGCGTTCTTACATGGAGATTTGGAGGAAGAAATCTATATGACTCAGCCAGAAGGTTTTACCGTTGCTGGTAAAGAAGATTGGGTGTGTAAGTTGAACAAGTCGTTGTACGGACTGAAGCAGTCTCCCAGACAGTGGTACAAACGATTCGATAAGTTCATGATCGGGCAAGGATACACAAGGAGCAAGTATGATCATTGTGTCTACTTCTACAAGTTACCAGATGGATCTTTCATCTACTTACTTTTATATGTGGATGATATGTTGATCGCATCAAAGAGCCAATCAAAGATCGAGAAGCTGAAGGCTCAGTTGAATCAAGAGTTTGAGATGAAAGATCTTGGAGAAGCAAAGAAGATTCTCGGGATGGAGATAAGTAGAGACAGAAAGATGGGCAAGCTTTGTTTGTCGCAGAGGCAATATTTGATGAGAGTACTTCAACGTTTTGGCTTAGATGAAAAGTCAAAACCTGTAAGTACACCACTTGCCCCTCACTTTAAGCTCAATTCAACGTTATCTCCTATCACGGATGAGGAACATGAGTACATGACGAAAGTTCCATATGCAAATGCGGTTGGTAGCTTGATGTATGCGATGGTGTGTACCAGACCCGACATTTCACATGCCGTTGGAGTGGTGAGTAGGTATATGCATAATCCTGGAAAAGGACATTGGCAGGCAGTGAAATGGATTCTGAGGTATATTCTGAAGACCTTGGACTTTGGATTGACGTTTCAGCAAGATGGATCACTTGGTCACTGTGTGGTTGGATATGTGGATTCCGACTACGCTGGTGATTTGGATAAGCGGCGGTCAACGACTGGATATGTGTTTACACTAGCAAAAGCTCCAGTGAGTTGGAAGTCTACCTTACAGTCTACGGTGGCTTTGTCTACGACAGAGGCAGAGTATATGGCAGTTGGAGAGGCTGTGAAGGAAGCTATTTGGTTGCGTGGTTTACTCGGTGAACTTGGAGTTGAACAGAAGAACATTTCTGTATACTGCGATAGTCAGAGTGCTATCCATTTGGCCAAGAATCAAGTCTACCACGCACGGACGAAGCACATAGATGTTCGCTTTCACTTTGTGCGAGAGATTATCGAAGAAGGTATCATACGACTCATGAAGGTGAAGACTCTTGCTAATCCCGCAGACATGCTGACTAAGGTGATCACAACGATCAAGTTCAATCATTGTTTGAACTTGGTCAACATCCTACGTATTTGAATGCCTTCGGGCATTTGAGTGCCATGAGGCACAGTTGGAGACATCCTTTCTCGTTTGGTTGCAGATGGTATCTTGAAGCCAAGGTGGAGATTGTGGACATGATGGCTTCAATAGGAGAAATGGCAGACAAAGGCAATTGGGGATCAATTTTTTATTTGAAAAAAATGAGAACCATTCGAGGTGATTAGTTGGTGGCATTCATTCTCCACCACAGCATTGCTCGGACGTTTGGCTATAAATAGCCACCTTAGTTGCTGCCTAAATCATCACCAACAAGCATCAAAACACAGAAGAAAAATAAGAGTCTGAGTTGAAGAGTTTTCTTCTTCAACAAGAAATCTCTTTTGGGTCCTTTTTTTGAGGGTTTTCAGGGTTTCTTTTTTTGGGTATCCAAGAAATTTGTTCGGTGAGATTCTTGGATACACTTTGGTTATTTTTCTTCTGAGTGTTACGAGAGAAAGGGTGTTTCTTGGGAATTTTGGGAGTGAGGTTGAGTGTGTTTTTTTTATTCCACATTTGTTCACCGATATAGTGGAATCTGTTTTTTCTTCCTCGCTGTGGACGTAGGCATTCTGCCGAACCACGTTAAATTCCGGTGTCTTTTATTTTCTCTCGTTAGATTCCATCGTCTCGTATTTGAGACCCGGTACGCTTCCGCACAACAGTTATCGACAGCGAAATTGTCCGTTGCTGCAGCTAAAACTTGAAACTCGAACATCGAAAACTCTTTCAGCTTGGCTTGATTCATACCGGTTAAATCGCCACTGGTTAAAGCCACCATCCTCTCAAACAATAGCTTTGCATTTCTCTCATTCTCTGTCGTCAATGAATGATGAAATAATCAATGATCAAGCAAATACATTAAGTATTTAAGTGCATATCTCTGGATATAACATTCATGAAATATGACCTCTACGCCCCGTGATTTGCCGGAGTGCTAAAAGAATGCACACCGCAAGGATAAATGCAGCGCCTATCACGGGTATTGAGATTATAATTGGCCGACTGTTTGGAGTATCTGCGAGAGATTTTAACAAGAAAAAAGAAACCCAAATTGATCGTAAACTGAAAGCATATCGAAAGGAGTGAAATGAATGTGAATTGTATATGTACTTACCGAATTCTGATCCCGCTAGCCGCACGTAAAGATCGACGCCATTCCTCGAAAATTTCTGCATGTCTAATAAGCTTCCGCTCCAGAGGAAGCAACGTAATCCTGTATCATAAGCATAAGCAGTGCAAGAACAATTCTGCAGACAACTCCTTCGACACTCGTTTTCATTGCCTTCAGACCGCTGAGGGGAGAAGGGCACTTTCGTCTTCCGCAGCCTCAAGAATCCATCGCCTTCGCCTCCGCCTCCACGACCTCCATTACTGTTTTCTCTTTCGCACTGCAACGGGACCCTTCTTTTGCATCCGTTAGTCCAGTCTCCTTTATTCCACTCTGTATCATTCTTCGGTTCAAACCCTTGAATGCATTCGCAAAGAGGATTTTTCCGGGGGTTGCAGCTCGCGAATTGGCCACATTTGCCATAAACATCGCACTTGGTCGATGGAACATTGTAACCGACGGTCCAATCTTGATTAGCACTGCTCCAGGATCTCTGGAGTAGGGTTCCTTGAGAATCCAAGACAAAATGGTACATTAGGGTATCATTGTCAAACGACAAGGAGACCGAACCTTGATTGTCATTGCTGAAAGTTAACTCATACATGGAGAGATCGGCAGATTCCACATCCCGAGACCCGATAAACCTCTGACCATTCCATGGGCCGCTTCTCCAAACTGTCGTATCGTTGTCCCAGATGAAAATTTCTGGCAATGTCAGAGTACCAAAACCAGCACTGTACCTTCCGGGTGAAGGATCAGAAGGGCTTTTCCAAGAAGTAAGCTTAACATTTTCTCCCGGCCTTACTCCTGTCCCGATCGGCATTCGGGAGATCCGGAAAAAGGATCAGAAGGAAAACAGTTCAACTTCAGCAGGGGAGGCCTATGCTGCTCGAGGTCGTGAACAGACTCATAAGCCTGGAAAGAAAAAGAAGG